AGCAGTATGCGATGGGCACGGAAGCTGATTCCCAACAAGGATGAGGTGGCTATAAATTGCTTCTTCTGTTTCCAGCGCAGACCGGCTTCACATGTAGGACGAAATTTCAATAGATGTTTCGAAATGTCCTCCCAATGTAATCAGTTTGAATCCTATTCTTCCCTTTGGGGAGATCACGTTGAATAATCGGTCGAAATGGTTTCCTGTAGGAGATGATCTTTCCCGGGGGGGGCTGCAATGTAACATGAACTTCCAAGGAACCAGCCACAATTTATCTCTTCTGAAGCTTCTCTTCTCCCCTCTGATGGTCACACCCACTGCGTTATTCGTTTTAAAGTCAAGCAAACCCCGTGGAAGAGCCAAGTACCTGGTGCCCATTGCAACCTCTCCTGCATGGCTTTACTTATTGAGTGTGTGGGAGTGCAGGTGATCGTTAGTTCGTTCTCTGAAATAGGCATTTTGATTGCAAACGTTTCATCACCAATCGAGGTGACGGCATCGGTGCGTCTCTTCAAAGCGAAGCGTGGCTGTATGTTAGTGACGGTTTCACCACCCGGCTTGTTTAAACACCTCATGTGCTTCTGACCCAAGCCAGTTCTCTACAGCGTTGTCAAAGTGAACAATTAATCATGGCAGCAAGCTTTGCACTTTTACAGCATAACTGAATTAGAAACAGCCAAAAAGTGAGAGATACATTACTTTCCTGCGACACTACTCGTAAGGTCGACGCAAGTCTTGGGTAGCCCGATACCGGTTTCACCCTTCCCTGTGTTCATCAGGTAGGCCAAGTCCCCTAATCTCTGCCCGTCTTGAACATCTAATCACATATTCGTCGCGGCAAGCATTCCCTTGAAGAATAACTAGACGTTCTGTCAGTTTTGAGAAGATATATACTTCTGCTAATAATAATAATAACAATAATGATAATAATGGTTCAGGCGCCCAGCTACAGTGCCACCTGAAGGAAGCACGAGGACTGACGTACTCCCAGGTTGCTCAAACCTAGTAAGGAGCAGTCGACATGCTGAAGTTGGGTTTGAACCACAGACCTCCCAGTTTGTAAGTTTGCGCCTTGATTATTAAGCTATTTCAAGCTCATACGTTTATATATCTATGTAAATATACTTACGCATGTAAATATATTACACTGCAGATCGAGAGGGACGTTATCTTCCGCTCAGTTTTGAGTGCAAGTGAATGTGATACCGTTGTTTTCAGAACACTACGTTTTCCTCTTGATTTTTAGTTTTGGTTGTCTGTTGAATATCAACAGACTTATGCGCGTTGATGAGATAGTCGAACGACTGGTTATTGAATAACGAATGCCGATCTGAGTACCGATAGGCCAAATGACTGCCTGGTATACAGAAAATCGTGTACAAAAGAACAATCGATGTTCCTCAAACTGGACATAAGCCAAGTGAAACGGAAAGACAGATGTCTTGGAAAACTAACGAGCGTAAAAAAAACAACGTTCAATTGTAGTACCCTTCCGGTGCCTAGCTGCCATGCCACTCGGAGGAAGCACGACTGCTGGAATACTACCAGGTTGCCCAAGCCTAGACAGGGGAAGTCGAAAGGCAAAGGTCGGGTTCGAACCATGGATCTTCCGGTCAGTAAATTCGCGCTCTAACCACTTGGGCCATCTCGCCCCCAATGGGCGTACGCTTATTAGAATTATTCACTCTTCTGACTGGCGTGCAATGAGTCGGCCACAACTTCCTGTCCACTTTGGGGAGAAATATGAGGAGTGCATATATTTTTAAAGTTCAATAAGCATTGACGCAACTTCGGACACAGAAAACTTGGGAGAACGCGTGGTGTACTGGAAGCATTCGTCACAAGTCTGCTTGGGTTCAAAGCTATCCCGTTGAGCAAACGGGCGTTTCGTTTAACCTATATTACCTTTGGGGGGACTTTCGGTAGGTCAGGTTGTAGAAGTGGTCGCTGATTTGTTCACTGAGCTGGGCTATTCACTTGCAGACTTCCGTCGCCGGTCGAGCTGGCATCGTCCGTACGTTATGGGGTGGGCACGGCCACCCACAACATACCAACGCTGCTGATAGGGCGCCTTCAACCTGAATTACCCAGCTCAATGAATAAATCAATGACCACTAATCAATATTTCCCCAAGGTTCGCAAGGCCTGCGGCTCATGAGTAATGCGTCAAATTCGTCACCTTGCTGTTTGAACGTATTTCCTACTGGTGGGGTGGGTTGCTCATCGTTTCACCAGCACTGTCTATCCCATGAACAAGCGCATCGATTTGCTCACGATGCCAATGCATTTAATGTACAACTCGCCTATATCAAGTGACATGGCCTTACTCAACCCTATCTGTCAATGCTTTGGAAACCTAACCGAACAATTAAACAAAACCACCTTTTTAATGGGGGCTCAGTGGATGAAACTCTTTTAGCAAAAGGGTACAGTATATGTCCGGATTAATGGTTCATTTTAGCCGGCATGTGATCTACAAATACCACCTGCTTGAACTCTGTTTTGGAGATGTAAACTAGCTGCCTTATTCATCAAATCCCACTACTCATGATTTGCGGTTCACTATGCCATGCCTTTACCAGCTCTGATATTCTGCCACCTTCAGATGGCTGCACACTTTTATTTCGCTCCAGGTTATCGTGGCTGTTTCCGGTGGTTGACGCTGACTACTGTGTCCGGCAAATCGTTAAGGCTGTACGTGCCAATGAACGTCTAGTTTTCATCCACCGGTGGCAATTCCTGGTCGCTGTCTTGTACTGGTATGTCAGCATTTTTGGTTTCGCACAGACCATTGTTTCCTCTCTACAATCCGGCAACCTGAGCTAAGCTTGAACGATAGTCAAATCATAGCCTCAATTCATGATCGCTGTCCACCCGTTTGGCTTTCAAAATGTGGTCTGTAGACAGCAGGGGGAGACATCGTCGGTCCCTTAAGAATTTCCTCCGAGGTGGAACCCTTTTTTTGGAGTAACCAAAATAGCGTTTATCATCAACTGCGATAACTCCACGCCCCTTCCCCCGTGGCTTCTCCCCTTGAAACCTTTGTGCCTCATCTGTAGATGAACCTCAGCCGACCGTTCACAATACCAGGTTCATCTGACACCACTTTGTCCCAATAGCACCCACCATGGCGTGAGGTGAAATGCATTTTTGTTTTGATTCAGTTTTCTGTAACTGGGACTGTCGAAGAGTTTTCGGCAGTGAATGGTGTGGGGAAATTTATCTCATAACCTGCCGCAGCTACTTGACTTTTTGTACCTATTTGTAGTCAGTGATCGCGCAATGTTAAGTCAATGCAGTTCATCGCATACTCTGTCCGATTCTCTCTGAGTCGTTCCTAACTGCACTCAAAGTCCTCTTAAAAACATGTTCATTGCCTGTTTTTGCTTGTAGTAGAGCCGAGTCGTTTGCATTTAGTTGAGCTGTGAAGTGAGTTTCCGTCGCCTTAACTATCCCGGTGCTTTGGTAACTTGTGACTCCGGAGCATGCGTATAGGCAAATAATTGATCCCGTTCCTGCTTTCCACAATCGCTAAGTAACGGATGAAAATGGCTGTTTCAGAATGGAAGTAGGCTAAACAGCAATCACGTCACACTTGAATTTGCGACGTTGAGCAGAAGCCGGGTAACATTGGATCTGTCACTTGTACCAGTTCCTCAAGATAATCCATTAGCAACACTGCAAAAATGTCGCTGACGATTGTTGAAAGCAGGTAACTGTGTTCCCTACTTTACTACAACCGGCTTATTTTCTCATGGTTGTTAGCCGCAACACTGTCGTCATGCTTGCTCGACGGTTGCAGAACCTGGGGAAAATTTGCTTGCTAGCCTTGCATACATGCACCGTTGTTTCACACTTTACTATGGGGTGAATCAGTGCTGTATGTAATTTCGACCAGCTGTCCATTTTGAGAACAGATTCCGGTGATTTTAGCCAAGAAATTGAGTTGACATAAACAATGATGACTTGTCTGACTAGTTGGTGTCAATTCCTTGACTGCGCTTGCTGATAGGATCTCAACTTTCACCGATATCAGCTGTATCGGTGACGCCCTGTGCTTCTCAAAGGGCTTGCTCAGTGATTGGAGTGTGATGCAGCCGACTGACAGTTCATTCGCTCAAATCCAACTGTGCTTTTCGATTACTCCTGTTTAGTCAGTACTCCTGTCAGTATCTCAACCTCCGTACTTCCTTCAAGTTGCTGTGTATCAAAAGGAGGCCGCTTACACTGACAGTCAGTCAGCTTAAGCTTTTTTGCAACTTGTGACCAAAATAAAAAAGCTATGATAGCTATGAAAGCTATGGGTGAGAGAGCACTTCGGCTGTTACGTTTGCTGCTACTAGGCTGTATGGGCCACGATAGCCCGGAGAGCTGTTCTGTATGGGACATCTGTGTTTTCCCAGTCCCACAAATAAGTTTTTTTCTGACAAGATCTATGGTGTATTTACTGCCTATCTGGATTGCAATTCGGCTGTCAGGCTCATCAAACAGACCAAGAACCAAGCACCGCATCCCGTAAAATATAAATTAGCTACACAGGAGTAAAAAAAAACTGGTGAGAAGTGGGTAGTACTATCCACTGTATTTGTGTTAGTGGACAATACCTTACAGTGTGTTATTTGATTCCACCTCGGCTGCCTACTAGTTCTTTCACCACGGATAGGTCAGATTACTGATATAGCCATCACCTACTAACCAATGAGTAATCTGTCCGTCTCCGACATGTGCATTTATAATTTTTCCGTATATTTTGGATTTCATTATCCCTAATGGGCGAGATGGCCCAATTGGTTAGAGTGCGAATTTACTGACCGTAAGGTCCATGGATCGAACCCGACCTCTGCCTCTCAACTTCCCCTGTTTAGGCGTGAGCAACCTGGCAGTATCCCAGCCCTCGTGCAACCTTCGGGTGGCATGGCAGTTAGGCACCGAAAGGGTGCTACAAGTGAACGACTGGTCATCACGTTGGCGGCCAAATGGCACTAAATTGAATCTTGGTATCATTCCATTCGGTCTTCGTAGTCTACGCAAGGTTAATAACTCCGTCATGATGCTTGCGTCTTCAGGCGTCCGTAATTGCATCCTACAGTGAAATCTTAATTGAATTTGTCGTACCCACAACACTGCTGGAAAACAGTCGCAAATTGTCACCACACCGTATGCCTGGCAAAGATTTCAGTTACTCTTTCCCTTTGTTACTGCAGATAGACTTTGTAACATGTAATATTAATCAACCACACGACTCCGTCAGACTTCAACCATGAATAACTTTTTGCATTAGATATAACTCATGAAAAACCCATTGTCTACGGGCATGAATTGTCCCCCTTCTACGTTCCGCTACCGGTGAAAGGAAGAAGGCCTTCGCTGCGGAGTCATTTATTAGGAATGCCAACTGACCAGTTACAGACTGTTGGACAGGGAAGCAAAACTCTCATTTGCATCTTATTCACAAAAACTGAACATCCCTCCTCTCCTGAACGCGTCTTCTTGAACTTTCCTGGATATTCATTGACTCCATTCATTCACCGCTCAAATCCAAGCAAGTGCTACAAAGCGACTCCACGAATTCCGCAACAGATCTCCCTTTTCAAGAGACGCAAAGCGAATTTACAAAAACAAGACATACTACTCGCATGCATCCCCATCAGTAGTATCACCGTTACACCAGTGGTTAGTTGCCTGTTTCAAATCCCCGCATTGCATCCACTATTAGTTGACCCAGATAACATCTTGTTAGGACCGTCGTGTAATGAGTTGTCATTCAATCCTGTTAGTAACAGTAATTACATCTTAATCTTCACGTAGACTCTGCGATTACGCTGTTCTTTGTTTGAAAACTTTCAGTGGAAGCATCAGTCTACAACACCTACAGCACACAACCCCATGGTAATGCTCTTGACCAGTTCAGCCAGCTGTCATGTTGGAGGAGGTTCACTTTGCTTTTGATCTATGCGCTACCTTCAATATTCATGAAGCTTTAATGGTCTCGGGTTCGCGCCTCCACCATCTTGTTGCGATGAGGTTCCGGTGGTAGCGCTCCAACGATGATACTTGCCCATTGAACAGCTTTTTTATGTTGGTTCTGCTTTTTTGCCTTCTTTCTCGCAGGATAGTACCACGTAACACAATTTATCGCCTGTTTGACCTATGTGGCACGAGTCAGTTTGTGTCGCAACTTCAGGAACACCGCAAAAGTAAACAAGAGGGGACTACATCCGCACTCCCTTCTGCTCAGCTACCACCATCTGAATAGCGGCAGATAACGGAATGGATGTATTGCGACTGAGTATTTTGAGATTTTTTCACTATTGATTCAGTGCTATTCTCCGTCTCTCCATAAATCCGCTTTGTTTCGATTCAACTAACCGCCCGCCACCTATCCCCACTCTCTCTAGTCAGTTTGTTTATGCTATTCTGTTTACGCTTTTTAACCGATGTAAAGTACTTGAGTACGAAAGGTCCTGTGACTTTGGGCTGTCGTGCTCAAGTACACGCAACACCCCGACCCATTTAAATCTCTGAACATTTGCCCCCCCCCCTCATCTGAAAGCTGCCCTATTCGATTTTTCGATGTTGCACTGCAACTAGTGTGCCATTTCGACGGAGACGGACCATCGACCGTGTGCAATCAATTAGCCCACTATTGATAGCTTTTCTAGCAATAAACTTTCGTATCCATCAGCAACGTTTTTGGATTCCGATTCGTCCAAATTTATGAAGTGCTCTACTTGGGCTCGTGCCAAACTGTTTCATATTAATTTGGTGATATTAGTATTCATTTACACGTTACGTTTTATGCACAGCTAAGTTGTTTTCACTCTTTCTATTGATATGGGAACTCACTAGGCTTGTCAACTACAAATATCATAAGTCACTCGTGATTGTCTAAAATCTTCACGATGAAACAAATACGCTAAATGGAGCGTTCTATTGCAGGAGGAAGTATTTCGAATTGCACACAATATCCTTCTGTCACGATAAACCTCTTCTCGTCTTGGGGACGCTGAATAGTTCCGCATTGCGACTAATACACCATGAATCGGCACCTCATATCCACCCAAACTCCGCTTTATGTGCACTAAACTGGCGTTCATTTTTTTCACTAGATATCACGGTGTGATAGCTGCGAACTGTGGGATTGGTTGACAGAGTAGGATACCTGATGGAACATGGCACAGGTGCTGATCGCAGCTGGTGCAGCCGGAACAAACATGGGATGGACGAACTCTTGAGCATTCAGCATCATTGGAAACAATACACCGAGCGACTATCTGCCATGAAGAAAGGAAGTTTTAGGAGAAAGGAGAAGTAAGGGGCTAGTGCGAGGCAGTCCTATGCATTTGGGAAAAGTGATTAGGAATATGCTGTCCACACGCCTCAACATCATTGAAGTAAACACCTCCGAGTATCATGTCGGCGCCACCAGCAAGACTGACCCAGCGCCTTTCGCGAACTTAAACCGATACAAGTGCAACAGGCCAACTTTAGTTAGACAGGCCTGTTAGGAATTCATGGCATGCGTGCCAATGGCTTCGGTTACGTGCCATGTCCTGCAACGTTTTTAGTTACTTGTGGGAAAAATCACTTTAACCTAGCTAAGAAGGTGGGTAAATCTTACAGTTCGACTCGGTTCACAAAGTCGGAAGTTTAGGGGAACCGCCATTTTCGGTTGGCTGTATAGATGACACCGCTCAAGCACGTGACGTAATATGAAGATATGGTCAGTGCACCCCGCAACAAGTTGAAGCCCTACTTGGTACTGTTCGAGTTGCGTCACACATACTAGGGAAGCCAAAAGCTGCGTTACGACTGGTATAAGGCTTACACGCCTACAGTTATAACGGTCGGTTCACATATCTGTTTGCATACAGATACAGCGACTGGTTGATCCAATTTCTCACCAACTTGTTCTTGTTCCCCGCTACTCAACATTTTCCTACACCACCGAATGGCGCTGGAGGAAATTCATCTGGTCTAGTCGTTCGGTGGCATCTCAAGGTAGATAGGTATATTTGTACTTCAGAAACTGAAGTGCGCTGTTAAAGATGCGGACCGAAGATGTCTCCTCGAATGGTGACGAAACCTTTGCAAATTAACTGCCAAGCTCGGAGAACAAATCAACAGCCACGTGATCAATTACCAACTAATGCACCCGAGCTACCAATACTCCAACACATTACGAACAGTTGCTTCTGTGTTGATCCTTGTCTTCGTTACCAGGAAGCTATGCTAGTAAATATAATTGTAGAACAGGCGAAGATGTCCAACAGGTTTGATCCGTAGTCACGTTTCATACAATTGGCCTCAAATGTCCAAACATGCCACCTTATTACCTTTGGCGCCATTTTTGGTTGTTTTAAATGGATCCTTCCTCATTCGGGCTGAGCAACAATAGTGAGGTATTCCGAAACGCCCTGTTCAAGCGTTATTGAGACGTGGTCTACATCACTTGCATTCTGCAGCACCATGCCAGCTAGAATAGTTCAAAATACCTTCGTGGACAGAATATTCGTCTAACTTCGGATAACTTGGAATACTGCTTTGAGTCTGTTGCTGTCCGTGGACATCTATCAGCATCAGATGGCTTACGCGCAGATTTTATTGAAAATTCGTGCAACTCAGATGTCACTCTCAGTCTGTCTTTAGTTTAAACGGCATCATCAATCACCTTAGACACTTTCTACGTGAACTGCGATCTCACAGCCGGTTCGCTCTTTGATGCACAAAGGTGCGTCCTTTGAGTCGCGTGAATATCAACAAAAAGTGGATAGATCAAACGGCTGCAGAAGCATCCCTTTTGGTTTGCTTAGCCGACACTTATTCATCGCGACAGCAAATCAGGTTAGGGGCCGATCCTACTTCAACAAGCCAGTGTCCAGAAGTGAACAGAACTATACGCACAAACAGAAATAAACGCTGACAGGGCCGCCTAAGAATCACACATCCACATTCCTCTCATTCGAACACTCCTATTTGTTTGGTTGGCATCAAAAGGGGAAGTGGTTTCGCCCTTATTGGCGCCCACCAGTAGTGCATATCCTTCACTTAGCCGATATTTGAATCTCGGATATCTGACAGTTGGTGGTGGCTGAACACCATGGACCTCCTATCTCCATCGGCATACCTCTCACTTGGAACGTATTGCGGTTGATACCGTACTTCAGAAACAAAGTGGAAAACAATGGATTGAAATTTTTTCACCTAATAAATCTATCGAAAGCCCTTAACTGAAGCATCACCAAGGTTAATCGACCATGATGACAGCTGAATTTCAAAGCAAGTAAGGGTCAATCTTCCGAAAGCTTTCGTATGAGCGTAAAGTTGTGGAGAACGCCGAAGAACTTAAGGTAGCTGTAACTCTACTGGAAATCGAGAAAACCTGAAGGGCTGAGCACAACCGGTAGCTGAGCTTGTTGCTGTATATTCCCTGGAAATCAGAGCTTTCCAGATTGCGTTTGCCAAAGTTACCAACTGTTCTAGTCGAGGCTTTCACAGCTTCAAACCGTGTAACACGCACGTGTTCACAGTTTGCCTCAGGCGGTGCAAGCAATACATGGTCCAAAAGTTGCTGTTTCAACACTGAAACTTAGTCAATAGGTATTGTCTGTTCACGATAGATCAGTCACTGAAACGCGTTGTCTTTGCTTGGGTTTACGCACAGGACAATTCTGTGCTTCGTCACCGCTGAATCATTCACTTGTGTAGATGGGAGCCAGATGGAACAGACAGACGAAGTCGTGCCCATCCAAAACTTACCGGATTAGAGAACAGAGGAACTGCGACCATATTGTTCAGGTAGAGAGCGTCCGACCACTGACCACAACAGTATTTCCTCAAAGAGAGCATAAGACCTGCAAAACACTGAATTATTTACCTGGCATTGCTAGACGACTCAAAAAGCTGCATAAAACGCTCTGGGCATTTCTGTGCTTCAGGATGAACAATACTGAAAACAGTCAATGAAGTGGAAAACCCGGTCGGTTGGAGACGTTTTCCCGACGCCGGTCGTCCTAGCACACCAAACGGTCCCACGGGGAAATCAGTTAGTATGTTCCATGTATTTCTCCATCACACTGAGCTTTGGGCGAACCATTCAGATACTTATTTTCGGAGCGTTGAATCGGTATTTGGCTGTTGTTGCTAGTTCATGCTGTTCGAACGTCAAACAGGCCCACAGAATGAGGTGATAAGAATGAATTTACATCCGATTTTTAACCCTACTCCAGGATTTCATGTGACGTTTCGCCAGCTCACACATCCACGTAAAACCGGATGACCAGTAGTTTGCTGAGGCTTTGTTTTTCCCTCTGGGGTATGGTGGATATTACTATCAAAAGGCCAGTTGTATGATCCATCCACACCTGTTTGATTCAGGCAAATCACACGGCCTTCGCTATATATGTTCGTCCGATATTTACCAATCCTAGGTGATTCAATACCTCGCGTATTCTCACTTACCCACTAAGTGCCACAATTTATTCTCATGCGCTTGGTTGACGTTGTGATGAAGATACTTGTATATCATGACTTTTGATCTTTTATAAGATGACAGTAACTCGTGTATGAACAAAGTTTAAGCAATGACGGGATCATCTCCTCGGGACTTACTCCTGAGTGTAGGTTTAGTCCGCATCCCGTTTAAAAAACGAAGGGTGCTGGTGCGTCGAAATACACAACTTTTGGACTTTGTTCTGCTATGGTAGACATGTCATCTGACTACAATTTGGATTTGGAAGGACGGGTCACGTGTTGTCGAATGGTACTAGACCAAACAAGCAGCGACCCGAAAGGTGTGACCATCTGTCAGGTTGGCCATGAAAACCTTCACGGGCTGGAACTTCGGAGTGAGATAACGCTTGTACCCGCATCACATGAATTAACAGATTGAATGGCCACACAAATCTTCAGTTGAAACTTGAGGCAAGGAAGGGACGACATTTTTTGATTAGACGAGCCCGTCGACAGTCTTGAGTAGATGGCCTGTCTTCCAGCTGCTCACTTTACGGCCGAACTTTTCAGAAGTTGAATCACTCTTAAGAGTGATAAGGTTAAGAATAGTAATACACGCATATTCAGTAGTGGAAGACACTCTATTCTCATGGATTTGAAACCACGGAGTTCATCTTTTCATCACATAAGTAATATCGGAGTTCAAAGAAGTGAGAGAGTGAACAACATTCGCTGTTTCCCGTAACTTTAAAACTCATCAAATCTACCTTCCCAATGAGTTATGAATTCAGAGTGAGCACTGTATGAAGGTGGCTGAGAACCGAGTGGAGGATATCATGTCCTGAATTGTGTGCACCACTGGCCTGCCAACAAACAAAAGAGGAAAATCACGTTTCCTTATTATTTCGCCCTGGTTCGATGAAATTTTTCGTCATTCTTGCAGCAGAAAAGGACTCGAAGGACACGTATGGCTGTAACAAGCTGATTTCCAGATACCTTGCAAAAAAATACACGCAGGCCGTTGAGGAAAACGTTTACACAGAATTCAGTGATAGCTTTAATAAAACAAGATTCCTAAAAATGTCAATATTTTGTTGAATTTTTTTCTAGTTGATTGCTTTAGCGCGCGTCTCACTTACCACTTTGCCTGTTCGCTGTCGTCATTTAGTAGACCGTTGGACTCCCCGGTTTGTGTTCATGTACGTTTTGTTAATTCTTCAACATTCCTGCCGAACTTCGGGGTGCTCTATGGGACTGATTGATTCATTTTTCTGTGAATATATGCATAACCTTAGTGTGCAGTTCACTAGTATTGTACTCTATTTTCGAAGCATGTTCTCTTTTGTGTT